AGAGGGTGGCAAGGACATTTGAAGGCAAGATTTTACCTCATATTGTGAAGAAGCTGAGAGAAGACAGTTTCAACCTTGACATAGAAGTGATCACAAGCTCACTTGAAGGTGTTGCAGAAGTTTGTGCTAAGGGGGGCAGTTCATTTAGGTTTGTGGTTGACTTAGGTAATAGAATATGTTCATGTAATGCTTGGCAAGGGTCAGGAATACCCTGCAAACATGCTATTGCGTACATCACTTCAATTCCTGGAGCAAAATTAGAAGACCATGTAGATGAGTACTTTTCTATCCAGAAATTCAAAGAAGCTTATGCAGGCTCTGTCACATGTATTCCTGACAAGTCCATGTGGCCCAAAGCCACACATGGGTTCTTCATGCACCCTCCATTGCTTAAGTCAACAGCAGGAAGAAGGAAAAATAGGATGAAAGGGGCTCTGGAGGGAGGAAGTGGGAAGAAGAAGAAGAAACATGAGTGTCCCATATGCCATGAATTGGGGCATCACTGGTACACTTGCAAAAATAGGGATCCAACAGACATAGCTGCAATGGAGGCAGAAAGGTAATCAAATACATCTACATAAATGAAACTATCATTTAACTGAACTACATTTTCTATTAACAATTGTCTTTTGCAGAGGTCTCCCAAAGAAAAGGCAGAAGAAAGCAGCTAGTACCAATACAGAGACTAGCCTTGTGGTGGCCACTCCATCAACAGGGATGGTATTCCCACACAATGAGGCAGTGGCCAATGCTGCAGAAAAGAAGAGGAAGAGCAAATCATCTTCTTCAACAACTTCCAAGAAAAAGAAGGCATCAGCTAGCACTGCACCATCAACAACTCCAAACACCCTATCCGGCGTGTATGTTTTTCCTATAGTTCTACAATTTCCCATTGTAATGAAGCTTGTTCCAATAACTCGGTATTTGATAGTAACAGTGTCCGGCTGTTCCAATGAACTAGTCTCCCTCCGGGCATCAATCGCAATCAAGGCGACACCACCAAAGGGAGGTTGTTACGCCCCGAGTTCACCAAGGATGAAGATAGGAGTGAAGAAGAAGCTGACACCTAAGAAGCCACCACCAGTGGAGGTTATTCTGCCCCAGAGTTCACCAAGGATGAAGATAGAAGTGAAGAAAAAGCTGACACCTAAGAAACCTCCCCTTGTACCAGCAAGCCCAGCCAGCCCAACTTCAAATACCAGGAGCAAGAAGAAGGTAATGCTGGAATGAAAGGTGTCTGCCTGATTGTTGTGTGGGGATGTCTTTTGGCCTCATTTGCTTTTGTGGATGTTTTGCTAAAGCTGTGCCTGGTGCCTGCTTTTGGATGAGTAGTACATGAGCTACTGCTGTTTGCTGTGCCTGCTGGCATCATTTTATTTTGGCTTGACTAGAACTTAATGTCTGGATGAAGCACTTATGTGCCTGCTGTAATGTTGGTGACATGTTGAAAACTTTAGCTAATGCGTTGAAAACCAGTGACCAAATGTTGGTCTATGAACCATATTATTATTATATATTGTGTTAAATATTATTATTATATATTGTGTTCATTTCTTATGTTGGCATCACGTACATACTCCAGTTTTTTTTTTGCGCCAACACAACTACCCAACTCGGCCAGGGAGTGGCACAGAAGGACAATGATGATTTTGATTAGCCTCTATGGCCTCAGGGCAAGCGGGTCTTTTCTCCATGCCGTTTCCCTCCGTTAGAGTGCAAAGTGGATGGAATGGCCTGAGAGACAATAAAGTTTAGGTGGATGGCTCATAGATGAGGCCCAACTTTTTAGTGGTACGTGGGAAACAACCATCTTTTATAATGGTACAGAGGTAAAAAGTCTCCTTAAATTCCCCAACGGTTGACGCAACGCAACACTCGCTGGGGGGAGTTGCTTATCGAGGGGCGGCGAATTTATGCTCGTGACGGCATCTGTTACCGAGGTCACTTTGATGAGGGACCTTCCTTACAATTTTCTTTTTGAAAAAAACACACAACTTATATTCCTATAAATTTATACAAATAATAACGTTACTTTTTCATAAATTTATAGATTGAAAAATTATAGGAAGATGAGAGCACTTGAACTTATCAGCCATGATATAGTGTTTTTTTTCCTCACAACAAAACAACATCAGCTAGCTTATCAGCCACAAAACCATCACCCGAACAGCTTGGATCGATAGGTTTGATCCTTCCAATTAAGCCACGCCCATTCTTGTACGTATATTTATATTTTAGCGAAAAAGTAATCTAACATTGTTGGGATCCGTATTTCCTTTGTAAAAAAGAATAGATATTTGATTATTTTTATGTGTTAGGCATACATACTTAGGAGCATCTCCATCACATATCCTATTTAATCTCTGCAACGCATTGGCATATATCATACTTAAAAATAGCATTTTAGGAACAAAAGGTGCTTAGTACAAAGCAGAGATCTCCAACTAAAAGACGCAGTCTTTCTCCTAAATAAAGAAGACATGTTATAAGAAATATGCTACAGCAGTCTTCCCTTATATCCTAAAGATTTTAAGGTACTCATCTAAAAATAACTTCTAGAAGATGCAAGTAAGCGATCTGATGTCACTAACACGTCATATTCTTTCTTCAAGCTCTTTCGTCATGTCCGGAGCAAATCAGGGCGCTCAGTTTGATATATGGATTGGCCCATCATCTTTGTACTTAGGGCACGGGCTCCGTTCGGCTTATCCCGTATTCGGCTTGTTCGGCTTCTTTTTTCAGTCGAAATAGTGTTTTCCTTTCACAACAATTCAGCCAGAACAGTGTTTTTCAGCCAGTTTCAGCCAAAATTCTGCCAGCCGAACATGACTTCTAAGACTAGTTTCCAAGAAAAAAAAAACAATTAATATTTACTAGAAACTGCTATTCCCAACCCATGATTTCTAGGGTAGTTTCTACAGGGAGAACTTAAATACACCAAAAAAAGAGATGGATCATCTGTGGTAAGCAACAAAGTAGTCTTGACATATCATTAAGTAGTTGATCATACGCGTACATACAGTACCTGTACCTCACATCTTACACATACTCCGTAAACTGTATCGGGCGTGGCTGACAACTTGTCTGAGTTCTGAAGCTGTGCAAGCGAAGTTTCAAGAAGAGAGACAGGATGGATATTCTCTTTGTGTGCTCCACGCGAGCGGCCATGTGGGTTCAGGAGGATGCCGCAGCAGATGGAATCCACCGCGCCACGCGTTCGTCGTTCTCGTTCGCTTCTTGGCCGTGAATGCCGGTGCCCCGGTGCCGGACTCGGACGGCGAGATGGCCGCGGACGCCGGGGATGCGAGGCGGGAGGTCCAGCCGCATGGCGCGATGCGGCCGGGACTGCTTGCTACGCGCCTTGCCTGCGAGAGCGAAACAAGTCCGCCGGCACGGAGCGAGCGCGCGAGGAGAGGATCCGGGCGGAGCAACCGATCCGGGGTGAGAGAGAGGAAGACACGACCTGGGTCTCCCCAACGCGATTTTCCCCGTTTCTTAGCGTCTCGTTCCGCGCGTCGACTTCGTTTCTCCTCCAGGAAACGGTTTCTCTTTCTCTCTCTCTTCGATTAATCTCTTGACACATCAGCAAAATATTTATGAAACAGCCTAATTAATACACACAGAAACCACTATAAATATACCATTGAGAGTGCCCTTATAACTTCTTTTTTTGTGTGTGTGAAATTGAGTTAATCTATCGTCGTCTCATTTCCTACAAATTAGCAATAGTAGTATAACCATAAGACTAGTTTTAATGGAGCTTCATCAGAGTTTTATAGACATTAAATATGCTAACGTGGCACCGTATTAATAAAGAGGGATGATAAATATTTTATGGGGTAGATATAGTTTCATGGGAATAAAACTCTTCTGCGCTGTTTCCAAAATAAAGATGTATTAGGGGCCTATTCAGCTGGTATTAAAACCGGCTGAAGCTGTTTTGTTGTGAGAGAAAAATATTGTATATTCTAGCTGATAAGCCGGACTGAGACATTAAATCTCCACTGAGACTGGCTAAACAATGGGGTCATCTCATTTCCTACATTGCCAATGGAATCTCGCGGGGGCTAATCTTCTTTCTGGGCTTTTCATCTATATATAAAAGCAGTACTTTCATCTATACAAAAGCATACTATTGTGATGAAACCTCGATTCAGACTAAAAAATAAGCTAAAATACTGTTCGGCTGATTATTATAAGAGAAAAGTACGGTTCCGTCTAGAGATCACTATTCACGGTGGTCTGGCCAGCCAGCCGAACGAGGCCTAATAAGCCCATCCGATACAGACTCACGTCCGAATATGAAGGCAGATAAGATCGGCCAGTGCAATGAATTAGTGTGCAATTGGCCAGAGCAGCACTGCTGAAATAAAATAAAATGCCGTGCAGATCAATCGCGCGAAAAAACGCCAGTATGCTCCGAGAACATAAAGTCCACTCCCCATCATTTCATCTTGGTATATGAAACATTTTTTTGAAACCATCTTCGTATATGAATCTGATGATGTCCCAACCGCCCAGGATCGTAGCATCCTATGGCTGAGGATATCGCATATCGTACAATAATTGGCTGGCTGCCTCCGTGTAAAGATCAGCTGACAAGTTGCTTTCGCAGATCAGGCTAATCGGTACAGAGCACAGATGATCAATACAATTTTGGCAGCATTCGACCAATGTAGGCACAAGGCTGCCTTGTCCCAACAGCCCAAACTCAGGCTCACACTAGGCGTTGGCTGATGCACTACCAAGCCCATGGTTCTGATGACGGATCCATCGTAATTCGCCAAAAAAGGTCAAAATAAACACCATTATTGATATGTCCAGAGGTAAAACATTATTAGCAAGCTCAAACTGTAGCCTCCCAAAAAGCTGGGGGAAGGGAAAACAGTATCTGCTCCAGCGCAAAGTTACCACTAGCTTACATAGCACAGTTAAACAAAAAAATGCATGTTCCTTCCTCTTCAGCATATCTCTGCATCAGGGTGAAGCGTTGGAACATCTTAAGCGGACTTCACGGTGGCTGCGTTGATGATGTCGATGAACTCGGGCTGCAGACAACATAGGGAAGGAAACAGTCAGCAACATGGGGTTGTTGACAAGGCCAGCAGTCATTTTGTTGTTTCTTTGGTTCACAAAAAAAGGAACAGGGCATAAACTGTCTTCCTGGATTTTCATTACCTTCAAAGAAGCTCCACCGACAAGGAAACCATCGACATCAGGCTGTGCTGCCAGCTCTTTGCAGTTCGCAGCAGTTACAGAGCCTGTAGCAAAAAGGCACGTGTGTGATTATCAAGACAAGATGATTTAGCAGCCAGTACATAAAACACCAAAAGTCAATTGCTCCAAAAAATGTATATATATACCTCCGTAGATGATCCTTGTAGATTCAGCAACCTCAGGGCTGACGTTGGTCTTTAGCCAGTCCCTCAGGGATGCGTGCACCTGGGAACATTATACAGATCTGAGTGTTAACATAATACAAATCTGAGTGCTGCACTAAGAAAAGGATAATGTGTTTAGCAGATCAACATATTTATAATCATAGTGCATCATGGGCCAATATTGAAACAGATAAAAATATATGAACCAGTAGAGAGCTGAACCAAGAGAGAACAGAACTTACTTCCTGAGCCTGAGCTGGGGTGGCAACTTTACCAGTTCCAATAGCCCAGACTGGTTCATAGGCAATAACTACGTTGCTCCAGTCATTGATCTTCTCTGTAAAACAAACAGCCATTTGATCCATTCAGCCTGAATTTTCATATGGCATCAAATTTTTTAACTTACAAATTCAAAAAGCAAGGCACTAAAAGTCCACATGAACCAAACAGAGCAGAAAACAAGGGGGAAAATCCAGCATGTGAATTCATCCAAGCAATAGAAACACACATACTAAGCTGATTCTAAACTACAGCTGTTACAGAAAGACAGTAATGTCTGAACTAAACATATAGATTATCTAACCAAACTGAACGCCAAGATCTAATTTTTATCATGAACAAGACGAAACAAAATTCACCAAAAGAAAAGTGTTCACCAAAAGATGTATAGCTACGATTATATATAATGTTAAAGTTCCATGCATGGGAGCTAATTGTAGAAGCGCTTGAATATAATCAATCAACAACTCTCCATTATCATAAGAAAAAACTAACCATGAAGAGCATAGAAAGAGACTACACAATCACTGGACTGAAAGTAAATGAAAAGTACCAGCAATTGCTTTTGTTTGTGCAGCAACAACTTCCATGGTTGACCCAGCCTCCCTCTGCTCAAGGGTCTCACCAACGCATGCAATGACCTTCAGTCCCTGAGACAGGGCATAAGCAACCTTGTCTCCAACAAACTGGCATCCAAGCAGAAGAGTAAACCATTAGATGTGAACATTCTTTGGAAGGCAGTGGTCATGGTGTGAAGACAGGGCCTCCACAGTATGTCAACAATCAAATATATCGCAAAGGAAACATAGTCCAAAATGGAAATGTGCATGCATTTACAACCACAATGCAAATGACACGAGAAACATGTTGCATAAGATGCAACCTGGATCATACCTCATTCGATTCTCCCCCAGCAGAGCTCTCCTTTCAGAGTGTCCAAGAATGACCCAGGGAACACCAAGGTTCATGAGCATCTCAGCACTGCATTAATAATGGCTTGGTTATCAACTAATAGTGAAATTGAATGGAGAAAGCGCCAAAGCGCAATATACAAACTGCTGAATTAGGTTACATATGCAGAATGCTTAACATAGGATCAGTTCATCAGTACGAAAATAGTTAAAATTGAATAAAAGCGTGAAAGGTGACATCAAAAGACTCGGTGCATAATGGTCAAGAGAACATAATCAATTATTCTAGTGCAAGACTGTATGCGTTTGCATTGAAGACTTGACATTAATCCTTCCTCAGATTGGTCATTATAGCATATGGTCTGATCAGATCAGACAGGAGAGAATTAAAGACTAACCTGACTTCACCAGTGAAAGCACCTCCCTTCTTCACCCAGCAGTTCTGAGCAGCAACTTGGAACTCTGGGCGCAGCAGGCTCTTGACCACAGGAAGGAAGACATAAGGAGGGCTGACAACGACCTCTGCAATGCAACCAATTCCAAATGGCTAAGTACATCATACAATACGATTTAGTAAATTTCTCAGGATTACGTAAATCTGCAAAGTTCGAGGTCAGTCCTAAAAGGCATTATGTGAAGTTTTGGCGTCCATACCAACAACATCTGAAGGGGGAACCTGTCCTTCATTCAGGGTTTTGACAATCTTCTCGACCTGATCTGTGGTTCCGTTCTGCACGCATCAAGATCAACCATGACATGATCAGTTAACAGGCAATTCACTATATATATGTCCCTTGTATGAGAAATTTGGCAAAGCAACAGGCTCTTTCACTGCCAATGAGTATTGAAGTCGCGAAAGGAACTACAATCTATGCTCGGATTGAGCAAGCCCCTTCACGAAACATCTAAAATTTACGACGAGCTCCATGACAAGAAGCTAAGGTTAATTCGTGTGGCAGACAAGAATGAATCTCCAGAAGTTGGAGATTGAACTTCTATGCTGCTACAGACAACATGCATGCATCACAAAACTACGAGAAGGTTTTTTTTTCCGATTTGTTCTGCGATGGAGTCTGGAAGCACGGTTGGATTGGAAGAAGAGCGCACGGTTGGATTGGAAGAAGAGCGCTGGAGTCTTGAAGCACGGGCGGATTGGAAGAACGCGGGCACTTCCAGCTAGGTCAAAACATACAAAGACCATCAACATCACCTTGTCTGATTCCGTTTTGTTTTTTTCCGAAAGATCCCTTGATTCCATTTTGAACGAGAACGACCAGATCAATTCTAATCGTGGCCGGATCTCAAGAGATTACGCCTGGAGGCATCATATCCAGGCTTCCCATCCAAGAGCAAAAACCCAATTCTTACGGCGATCTGAATCGAGAGCAACAGAATCCAAAACACTAGCCTAACCGCAAACGGGATCAGATATTTCAGAGCTCCACATCCGATCCACGAAAAAAAGACAGTCAAGTCGACGGGGGAAGAGAAATTACGCATTTCCAGTTGCCACCGACGAAGAACTTGCGGCCCATCTCGGCGAAGTGTCGATTAGATTGGGTTCGTATGGGGAAAAGAGGGAGGGGCGCTTCTAGATTGGATTTCGCTTCTTCTTGTAGAGGAAAGGAAGACAAGGGGCACAGGATAATATAGGCGGGGTAAGGTTTGTGGCATCCCATGTGATCATATGAGGCCGGCCGGCCAGTACTCACGATGACATGTGGCCCCTACTGCCACCATCGAATTTTCTGGGAGGTTTTACCTTAAAAAAATAAATAAAAGATGTATAGATACCTTCCTGTCTCATTCTCTATATCCTCTCTTCTTTGTCTATCTATACAATATATACGTATTTATCTATATTTATTATCTTTCCTTCATCCAAAAACAAGTAACACTATAGTATCATGCTGGTCAAACTTATATAAATTTAACTATATTTATAGAGAATATTACACCTATATCTCTAACTCATCAAGAAATGAGACGGGCATTTATTTTTGGGTGGTGGAGTATCTATATCTGCCTATATATATAATATAATATATTAAAAAGCAAAATGTGATTCTAGTCCATCTAAATCTATCTATCTATATAATATAATCATATTAAAGAGCGAAGAGCCTTTTTTGTTTTTAAAATATATATGCATTCTCTATTCTTAATTTCTTATATGTGACTCAAACTCATGACCTACACTGGTACAAGTTAGGAATGACTTGTGTCTAATAACGATACGAAATCTAATATCAAAACGTATTAGGTCATGTTGCAACACACGAAACATATTTGCTAGTCGTAGGCAAAAGCTAAAATAGCTAGACGAGCCGGGGAAGCTTAATCGAATCTTTGCTGGTACGATTGCTTCAAGCAGATGCTATGAGTATCCCAATTCGCCACTTTTTGCTTAGATCAGCTAGTTAGGCTGCGTGTGGTAGAACCTGTTTATCCGGGTTCAAGTCTTTGACTTGGCATATGTGCTCGTATTTTTTCGGATTTATTTTAAAATTTAATGGCGCTATGCTTTTAGTGGTAGGCGACGTCCTGTCGACAGCGAGGTGTCTGCGGTGACTTCGTGAATCTCGTGATCTGCCGGCTCAATCCTTCGGAGATGCTATTAGGGGTAGAGTTTGCGTACGTGTGTTCATAGGAATAAGTATGCATGATGTCTATATTGTACTGTGTGATTCTTTAAAAAAATCGCTGCTTTCTTTTAATTTAATTAAAGATAACTGTTCTCGTTCCTACGCAGCTGGGAATAAATTAAAGCTGTGGCCGTGGAGTAGCACGAGTGTGTCACGGACACAGGCGACGCGGGTGTAGACGATCCAGCGGCGGCGCCGAATCGTGGGCACTTGGCGCAGCGGTGCGGAACAAGGGGCGCCGAAGCAGCGGCCGGCGGATCACGACGCTTTTGGGTGCGTTTGCATGCATCCATCGTCGGATGACTCGATGCGCACCTCCGCGTCGGCGATTGGCGACTCCTTCCGCTTTCCAGCTCTGCCCTCGCTGCAAAGGTTCGGCGGCCATTCAGCCCGCGCTCGGTTTGCAGCCGGGCCCAGCTTATAATTGCCCTTCTTTTGGGACGCGTACATTTTCAAGATTTTGTTATCAGGTCGCCCTCAAAGGGCGATCTATATTTCTTGCACTTTCAAATGGAAGAGTTTGTAAAATTTTCATGTTGAGAAGCCACCACCCGTCAGAACTCAAAAGAACCATGAGTATTTTTGCAACAAGCGAACGGGTAAAGCGATTTCCCCCAAATCTTATCCAAATTTCAAACCGTGTTTATTCTCCAAGGCTCAACATAACAAGTTTGGATCAAGATAACCTTCGCCACAATTATTGGCTCCAAAGCAGGTCAAATCATTCCCCAAATAACCTTGGCTACACGACACTTAGACAACAATTATAGTAGGTATCAACAATACTATATGCAGTGACAAAGCATGAAAGGAAGAGGGCAAGTGCCCGGGTTCGCCTCTATGAGGCTCCACCAGTGCACTCAAAGAACATATGAGGGATGGATTCATTGGTATCACAAAAATACGCAATTAGGATCATCAACCCATCCCCTTTTAATAAGTGTTTTAGTTAAGATTGCATTATTCTCCATGAGCCACATGACAATTTTTTATTTTTGGCGAGACCTTCCATTTCCATATATGTTTATAGGAAATATAGTCTCATTTCCGATTATTATAGCAATGTAAAATCTTCACATTTTTATCCTATTTCCATTGGAGCATGTCTTCATTTAGAGAGAATTGAAACATAATAGCTTTTTTAAAATCAACTCCCATTGATCCATTGATTTAGGATATAACCATCTTCTAAAAGAAAGATTCAACTTTTCAGCACCCTCGAGTCTCGCGAGAGGCCCCCGTGTCGCTCTCTACGGGGTGGCCCGGGCGGTGCCGTCTTCCCCCAACGTCGGCCCCTCCCTCGTGCCTCCACTGCCCAGTCGCCGCTAGAGCTCAATGCTGCAATCCAGCGGAGAGCAAGGACGGTGGCGGTTAGGTCCTCTTCTCATCTCCCCCTCTCTCTCGAGGCTCCCGTACTAGGCCTGCACGGGCAGTGACTGCCAGCAGGATTCCGCCTAGGTGTGCGCGGATACGGCGTCCCGTCGGTCGGATCTGTCGCCCCCACGCTTGGAGCTACCGCAAGAGTTGTTTGGTGGTGGAGGCGCATGTTGCAAGACAGCTACGTTTGGAGGATGGCGCGATCATGGAGAGGCAGCTGCAACATGTCTATGGCATGCGTGCAGCAAGGTGGCTGCAGCTTGGAGCTACATGACGGTGGCTCGGAGGTCAGTTTTCATCTACGCGTGCTATTGGGGCATGGCTTTCCATCTGCAACGGATCCTTGAGCTCAGCTCATGAGCTGCGTGCAGTGGCAGACGACGAGCAACTTCACATGGCCAAATTTCAGACTTAGCAAAAAAGAATGTGATGGGGAAACTGAATTTTAGTTTTTCTACTAGATTGTAGTATATGGATGCATAGCAAAAAGTTATGCAATTAGAAAAACTAAAATAACTTATAACTTAGAATCACGTGTGGTTCTAGTATTCTTATTGAAGAATATATATATACCAACTAATGGAGATTAAAGCTACTGACACGGAGATCAACGAGAGGATAGGAATTTAAAGACCCGTCACTCGAAACCTAATAAGCTTCTAGAAAAGTATGTAGTAGTGTAGTAGTGAGCAGATATCCAGCCTATTCGCTTGTTGGTTTCAGCCAGCCTAAACCAGCCAACCAACAGTGTTTTTCTCTAAAAAAACCAGCACCAGCCAGCCCAAACCAGCACCAGCACCAACCAGCGAACAGGCCCATCGTCACTGGCCACCAACTCTCATTCCATTGGTTCTTATATAGGTAGAGTTTGATAGGATGGTTACATCCGCACTCGCTAGGTTTGTTGTAAGTTACTAAGTGTCTGTTTAGTTTCTAAAATTTTGCAAAATTTTTCAAGATTTCCCGTCACATCGAATTTTTGACGCATGCATGAAGCATTAAATATAAATAAAAAATAAAACTAATTACACAGTTTAGACGAAATTCACGAGATGAATCTTTTAAACCTAATTAGACTATGATTGAACACTAATTAGCAAATAACAACGAAAGTGCTACGGTACCGTTTCAAAAAAAAAATCATCAACCAAACAAGGCGTAAGTTTATCGTTGTTTTCGCCAGATGAGATGATTGGTCTTAAAAACTGATGATGGGACGTGAGCTAGCCTCGTCGTCGTCCAGTCGTCCTACCATAGCCACGAAAATTGAAGACGGCCGATGAGATGATGCGCCTCTTGTCATACTAGTCTTCTTTAGTTTTGTCCCCTTGGTCTGCAGAAAATGAAGACCGCCAATTAAGAAGCGTTTACCAGCAGGAACCCAAGTTATAGCTTCCTCTTTTACTTTGATCACGAGCAGATGAAAGCAACAATTCTTTGTGGTCAAAATAAAGGTACAATTTGTTGCCTAACTGGACTCTAGTATTATTAACCACCTTTTTTCTAGAATTATTCCATAAATTTAGGGTACACATGTGCGCGTTCGGTGGTACTATGCGTTTCCCGCACACTGGAGGCTAGAGCCTCCCAATCTCTTTTTTTCGTATGTTCGGAGTACGGACGCACATGCGTGTGTGCACGTGTAAAATGTGTAGGTTGTGTGTGTCCAAATTATACCCGATAAAAAAACTATAAACTGCATACTCATTTGCTTCTAGTTATATTAATTTGTCAACTATTACTTTTTTATTTAGGGACAATTGTCTGTTGGGCATCCAAAGTGATGGTCCTTTGCTGGCGGACACCCACTTTGGAGCATTTTGTCAGAAGACACTTTGGTTCAGTGAAATTAGGCCACATGACACCGTGGACCGGTTGCAGCCTGTTGAGGAGAGAGAACAGCGGTGAAATGACATTCTTGCCCCTGTCGCTTTATTCTTCCTCTCTCCCTTTGTCTTTTTTTTTTGTTTGTAGCGCCGCGCCGCCGAGGAGCTCCACTCGTCATCTTCTTCCTTCTTCCTCCTGGAGCAGCCGAGCCGGGGCAAGGGCTAGACAGGGCAGGCGAGCAGCTGCGCCGTGGCAGGGGCAGAGGTGGCGGCGGAGCTCTCACGCTCGCCCGTCCGTCCCGAGCCTCTCCAGCTCGTGGGCCTCTGCTCGGGACCATCACTTTGGATCCTTTGAAAATAATAGCAAGAATTACACTTAGTAATTGTTAAAAAATCAAATAAACCAATTAAAACCAATAATATAGGCTTATCATTACAACATTTTTTCTCTCGATCACATAAAAGACTTGCGCGCTTTTGTATTAAGCGGGAGAATTTTGATAACATGATCATTACAACACATTGAAAATACAATAAGATTTTTATTATATATAGTTTGCAAATCTAATATGATTTGAATATTACGATTTTATTATCAGGAAGAAAAAACGATAGAACCTAGATGGTCGTCCTAACAATCTGGTTGGAGTTGGTCGCCGTGCTGTAACCTGTGAACTAGATCCGCAG